GCCGCCACGATTGCCGCGATTCCTCCTGTTGCCTTTGTCTCGGCTGCCACCAGCCGTCCCCATGGGTGAGGTCTCCGTGGCTCGGCTGCATGGCGCAATTTAGGATCGGGATGGGTGAGACAGGATGATCTCGAAGAGCAGCGCCACTGGGAGAAGGTGGGTCTCGCACGGGAGAGCGAAGCTGGATAGGCTAGCGAGCTGTGTCCGGGAGAGACTGGAATCTGGGTGATAAAGTGGGGATGAGAGGGGAGAGAAGCCATCACCAGACGATTGGGTTCAGAGGATGAATGAAGCATTCGGAAGTAACATGAGTTACAGAATGCTCGTAAAGTAGTACAACCATAAATCAATAATGAACCCTACTACGGATTCTTAGACAATGATTGCCTTACCAGTCTACAGGTTCAAACTCTTGTGAGACTCTAATATCAACTCACCGACTGTCTTCTTGAGTCTTGGGAAAAGGTAGAATTTAAGGAAAGAGCGTGGCTTGATTTGAAAAGGTCCACATGTGGATGTGATTAGTGAGATTATTTAAACATCTACTTAAACAACTTATCTCTTTGTCTGACACTGATCCAACAAAGATTGTCAGTGGCAGTGATTCACAAATCTGCAGTGCTATCCGAATTCCTACCCAACATGCCCTAGTAATAAGGATATAAAAGATACCATGTGAAGCCAAAAGAGAACACAAAAAATAGTTAACAAAATACCTCTTTCAGCTTTTCTTTCTCTAGCTTCCTAAGTTGCCTTTTGATTTTCTTACGACGAGCACTTCGACTCTGACAGGACAAAACAAAGACAAAAATACATGTGATAATTAACCAAAATGCAGAGGCAGAAAAACTGTTACATCATAGCTTCTGTTTCAAAATTTTAGTATGCCCGTTATTAGCATATCAAAGAGGAGCTAAAGGAGCATGATCCAGTCCTATCTGTTGTCTTATCAAAGCCAAAAGATTAAATCAAATTAAGAGAAGGAAATACAACTCCATCTAAATCTCTAGGCAATTTAAATATCTTATCTTACAAGTAGCATCTGCTGTACATATTTATTTTATACTAAATGAAAAGTGCAGTAGAATATATTGGAAAAAATTGAGTAGGTCTATTTTGGCCAAGAACAGATACTTACTATTACTACGTTTAGCGATGCAATGCCCAACCTGGCCATAAGATTATTATTATTATTTACAATGATCCGTCATTGCGGTATCTTTAGATCAGTTTTGAGAACTTTGGGTCTCATAACGTACTATAGATACATGATAATGTTTACCAACTATAAGAAACATGAAAGTTGATGAGGAAAATATTTACAGCCCAAATAAACTAACAGAGATAGAGCCAATCACTGAATTTCTCTAAAAGCAGAAATGCAGATTACACAAACCGTTTTAGGAATTTGAGTTGTCTGCCCAGCCACCTCAGTTTCGCAACTCAACTCGGTCTTATTGCACCTGAAAATGTTCCAAGATTAGTTTTTTGCAAAGATATAACAGAAAAAGAATGACACTAATTCTAAGATACTCCAGCGTGAACAATATGAAAAGACTGCAAAGGAGTCCATAAGTCTTATTGTATCATGATACTACCTATTTTTTTACCAGAATTACTGTTAATATATGTAGATACCACCTATTAAAAACGAACTAGGACGTACTTTGTATTAATGCTCACATTCTGTTGTACATATATAACTAGAAACAAAAATAAAAATAACTGCCATTACAAAAAGCAAAAACAGTCTTTAAAATGGTGTAACAGAGATAAATGCTGAATCATTAGAAAATGCCATGTTCAAAAAGCTTCTTGCAGTTTATGCAAACATAATGACATGTCATCACTATCTCTTGGTGACATAAACATAAGGGACAATGGAACTCCGTACACCTTTAATGCACAAAAGATTATAGCATTCGAGTATATCCAAAGTATGTTGTGGTGATATACTCGATATGCTATAAGCATGTAATTTAAACCAATTTAGCACCATTTACTAGTGGTGATTTTATTGCCTGGATTGGTACTTCGCTGTCCATGATCCTTGGTAGTGCCACTACCAGGAAGAAGAAAACTTGTTTATCGGATGGGGTGGAAAGAAGAAACTTAATATATTACCTGTCAGGTTTTTGCTTTCCATCCAACTCAACAGTACATTCAGTTTGAATATCAGCCTTCTTTTCTTCAATACCAATAGTGGACGGCTTCGACTCTTTGGAACCATGAGATCCCTGATCTTGGCAAATGTCATCTACCTTGCTGCACCCGATGTGTTTTGCCTTCTTCAGTTTCTTTCTCCTGCATCACCAGATGTAGCAGAATCACTTGAACAGAACAGAACGCAACACGGGATAGGAGAAGCAAGCAGCCATGAAACCAGATGTGATCTAAATGGTTGTGTAATCATCAACTTCTTCAGTTTCTTTTACTGTTATGACTTATGAAAATACAGACTGAGTGGTAATCCTTAATTTTGCAAACAGGACAAAAAAATATGGCAACAAACGAGGATACCTTGAGCTCTCAGGTATTTTTGCATCTTCATCTTTTCGTTTCCTCTTCGAGCTTGTATGCCCATTTTCTAGATCGTGGTCGGATGTTACCTTTTCTTCAGGCTGATGATCACAATGCACCTCTTCTTCTTGATGCTTACTAAAGTCAATTTGATACTCAATTGCAAGGATTTTATCCTCAGTCGGAAGCGGACGCATTTCTACTTTCTCGGGATCTTCAATACAGTGTACATCATCATGGTGTACCATTCTCTTGCAAGCTTTCTGTTGAACCCTGCAATTGTTGTAAATAACATCATTTCCACAATTTACACGCATGGTTGTATTGAAACTGGAATACTAGGTGGAAAAGATTTTTTTTCCTAGCCAAGTACAGGTGTAAACGGAAATTGTTCACCACAAATTTCCTCACCATCCCCATATAAGTATACAACTCAACATGCCAGTGGAAACCCGACATGCTACATCCAAAAACACAGGAGAGTTCTCCTACGGAATGCCATCATTCATGTGAAACTCTAGCTCTTCAAAGGAAACATAATTTACTTATATCATGCCGAACACTTGAAGCGTCGTTTATATGGGGATAACTGCCATGCAGATGTCTCGTATGTTCACAGCCCACTCAATCTTGGACATATGAGATTTGACTCGGGATGATAATCCGTCTGGGCTTTCATCTTTCCAGAGGAAAATGGCAGATACACACTACAACGAAACGTAGCATGCGCACCCAGTGAATCTGACATGGGTGTTCTGCATAGCCACAAGCCCACACCCCATGGATTCCCCCAAAATCGGAACACAGAGATCCAGACGCCACAATGTTACATCGGAGACCACATTAGATTCAACGAGAGTACAAAAAAATCAATCCTCGACCGAATACCTTATGATATCCTTGTCCCTGAAGATACAGGTCGACTCGAAAGGCGGCACGGCGAATCCATCCATCTGCGCAGAGAGACAATCCATCAATTCCTAGTACAGAAGCTAAGAATCGACAAAAATAGAAGGGGAAAATCCACAAGAATCTAAGAACTGCCCGGAAACCCTCGGGCATTCGTGTACGGGGAGTCCCCGACTGAGAGCCCCATGCGTCATACAAAATGTAGAAGGGTGAAGGGGAGGAGGGAGGAGAGCGTCCCACCGTCAAGACGACGCCGCCGGGGCAGGAGCGGTGGAGGCGGAAGCGGGCGGCCACGTGGGCGGCGAGGTCGGCGACGGTGGCGAGCTCGGGCCGGAGGAGGAGCCAGCAGCGCCGGAGGTCCCTCTGCGCCCGCCGGAGAAGGCGGGCCTTGTCGAACACGAGCCGGAGCCTGACCGGCGACGGCGACGGCGCCGGCGGCGTCGCCATTGGCGGTGCGGGGGGGAGGGGGATTTGGGGGTTTCGCTGGGTGGAGAGACTGGTGGAGGCCGTAAAACCCTGGCTCGGTCCGCAGGACGCACCGTGGCGGTATTTTAGGGCCGCTTTTTTTTAGACCTTTCATAGGCCATTTGCAAATATTTGAAAACTATAAATAGAAAAAACACATGATTGATATGTTCATGTGCCATGCTGTAAAAAAAGTCATGTATCATAAGATTCTACAGGATTTGAAAAATCAGGAACTTTTACTGTCCGCTTTTCGTGATGGTTATTTTGGGGGACTGGAGAGATACAGAGAGATGGGACGAATGTGTATTGATTTTCTTAATGAAAAAACAAAATGAGATTTGAGTTTATGTTCAAATTCCCATGGAGTGGGGATGTAGAAATAGATTCTGTAGAAATTCAGTAGTCCACCCCTATGATCTAGGAAAATTTCTTTAAGAATCAAATTTTCTAAAGAGGGCCCTTGAATAGAAGATCTAGCAAGATCACTGGTGATAGAAAAAAGTACAAAATCTAAGAATTTAAAGAAACATTCACTGGTTTCCCCCTCACCATGCACGCACCATGGCCTGGTAGTACATGGGCCACATCATTACAAGCATTTATGTTATTGCAGTTGTGGAGGCTTTTGGAGTGACCAATAACGTCTTGATTTTTTTATTGGTATGATCCACACCAAGTGCCAAGGTCTACGCGCCACGTCCCGACATCAAGCTGCGCTAGGCATTGGCGGATCTAGGGGTGGGGTCATGAGGGGCCATGGCCCCCATACACAAATTACAAATTCTATTTAAGTGCAATGTATGTCCATCATACTAAATCTGGTGTAGTGTAGTATACACTAGAAGACGACGCACGCTTTGCCGCGCTGTTTCCCTAACATTTGTTTGTTCATGTCTTTGTTCTTGATGGTGTCCTCTTCCTCCTCTTCCTCTTCCTAAATTTTATGAATTAGAGCAATAATTTGCATATGCTAAATTCAATATTTATAAAATAGTGTATGTGGTGGCATGACTTGTAATGCCTAATCAACTCCCTTGCAAAATACTTAATTGCACTCTCATCGTAATAATACATTTTTCAAACCAATGAATAAGCAACGACTTAACTGGAGCGGCAATTCAAGAATAATGCTAAATTCCATCCGCGGATAAGAAAAGATGCAATTTGTACTGCTACCTGGTCTTATTCTTATCATGATAACTACCTCTATCAAACCCACTAAAAATAAATGTATTGGTGCTCTTTCCAAGCAACACCGAGTCAAACTTGTGTTGAGAGGCGCCTTGAAGGCTTCGACAGTAACACAATTCCTCTAGTGTCGGTTTTATATAAGTTCAGTGTACTTTGCACGTGCAAACAGCTACATAAAAGTTGAGTAAAAGAAATTGTGAACACCAAATTGTAATGGATATAGAAACCGAGCCATGGGTAAAAAACAAAAAAGCATTTTGCTTTCATAGTAGTTCAGTAGCGGGTGATAGAGTAAGCATGATGTATAATTATACTCCAAATACAAAAGACTGGAAATGGATGGAGACCGGGATGGACGTCACAAGAGAAGGCTTAACTTGCATTCTAATTAGGTGATACGCATGTTTGTTTTGTTGAAATTCAACTGTCTTGCCAGAAGAATGCACAACGAATATTGTCGGATTTACTATAGTAAGAGAACTGAACCTGTGATAGTTACTATCGATACTACCAAACAAGGAAGAAGATAAACATCAGCAACTTGATAAGGGGAGTAATTTGAGGAATTGATGACTCGGCCCCGGCCTTTTTTATGGCTATAAGATGCTTGTTTTGTTGATAGAAGTTTCAGAATCATAATGCAAGGAATATATAATTATCCTGCCCACAAACTGGAAATAACATGCACATCACTTGGTCATTCCGCTAAGTACCTCTCCAGCATCATATCTCTTCATCCAAGCAATAGCACATCATTTCTAGTAACAATCAATGAATCCAAACTACCACATATGATCAGAAAATATAGGTGAATAAGGTATGACTTCATCTTTGATTCCGCTTGGCTCTAGCAGAATTTTTGGTGGTGTCTGATGACATAAAAGTGCAATTTGCCGAAAAAATATCTTGCAGCAGTACAATATTGGGATTTTTTTCATGCATTGCCGAAAAAATATCTACAAATATTGCATATTAATCACAATACTTGCATGTAATTTGTCTGCTATGCTCATTTTATTCTGCGATAAGTTGCTATAAAAGCAACATAATTCATTGTCTTGGTAAGCCATCGTAGATATTAGAGAGAAGTAGTCATACCTGTAAAAGAAAAGGTGGATATGGATGAAGTGCGGAATCTGTCAAGGGTGATCTTATCAAGTCGCTCTGAACATGAACGACAAGCCGTCTAACCTGCACCTAATCAGGCACACTAAAGAATAACTAATCAGAACTCTATTCACTGCTTGGACAGACTCACGAGGCTCAAGCAACCAAAACAGAACAAATCAAGCTAACTAGGCGGCCACACCATACAAAGAGAAAACGATCCGTCGCACCAAACGAAGCCTAAGCCAAAGAAAAACCCGCTTCCTGACACGATTGCCTCTTTATCTTTATATAGATAGATTCTATCAGCATATAGCTCTCAATCTCTCCATCATCTCCCTTTCAATCTCTCCCATCTCTCTTTCAATCTCTCAGCACCCAGACAAGCATCAGACACGCACCTGTGCAGCCCCAGCACGGGTGTGCGCCGCTGTAGCTCCCACACAACCGCTGGTCCATCGTGCCGTTTCTTCACACCACCAGCCCACCTCTCACCGCGCTCCCGCCGGGTGCCCGCCGCGGCTCACCACACATCACCCCCAGCCATGGCACCTCCTACGGCGGTCAAGCTTGCCCCTGTCGCCGCATCCCCTCAATTTCTTTGCCTTCGGCTCTCTCGCCTGTGTTTCCCAAGAGTACAGAATACTCTAAACCAGTTTTTTTTAAGGGGTAACATACTCTAGACCCACATGTCATTGGGAATGGGTCATACGTGTTCGGAAGGAAGGATAACAACGTGGGCCCACGTCTTCCAAAGCCCACGACTAAGCGGGGAGCTTCCTTTCAAGGGGGCTTAGAGTTTGTAGGGATTTTGTCCTAGCCATTTTAACGAAGTTCAAGAAAGCGTTAGGCGTTAATTATGTGTCTGGCCACCTACTTGCGCTTTGCTAGCTTAGGCGTGATTAGACGCAATTAGGCGTTTCGTATACAATTGTACAGAGACGGGACAAAGAGCGTTTTGCTGTCTAAAATAGTGCTAGAATGTAAACCGGAGTATAATTATAACCTTGTGCTCTCTCCTACAAACTATGACATAGCAGCACGCCAGCAGCATTAGCACAATTGCACAAGCAATAGAAGCAACAACAGCTACTAGCACTGCTAGCAGTAACTACTAAGTACTAACTAGTAGCAGGCAACAGCTAGCAACAGCGAAACTAAGGCCTTCTTTGGATTGGAGGATTTTCACAGGATTTTCATGGGATATCAATCCTCAGGATTGTTTCCTATGAAACGCATTTGGATCAAAGGATTGGGCCATTAAAATTCCTCAGGATTGGGTCTCCAAGGTGCTGATTTCAAAGGAATTTACACATGAGGTCTGACCTCTGGAAAAAATCCACAGGATTGGCTATGTCATGGCAATCAAATCCTCCATTTTTCCTATTCCTTTGTTTTGCAAATCCTGTGATCCAAAGAAGCCCTAACCGAAAAAGGCTTTTACCTTCGCGTTTGATACGCAGCGTGTATCTCCACCACTCATGCCTTGCCCATGATCGCACATGCACGTGAGAAAACTGGCAAAGGCTCCGCTAGGAGCCAGGGTATTCATGTCAGGTAGTAGGTGCACTGTTGCTAGATTCTTTGCATGTGAACGTTTTATCTCTCCAGCAGAAGTACTAATCCCGGTGATTATCTCTCCAGCCGCCGTTGCTAGAAGTAATTCAAACCCATAAAATTAAAATATGCAGTTGTTTAGATTGTCTGAAAGAACGTTTTTTTAAATAGTTTCAAAGAGAATCAAACTTTGTTAGCTTGGTGTATGAACCTTGCCATAAAAAACAGAAGAACTTTTGAAAAACTCTGGCATAGCTCATAAAATAGTTAGAGAACTTTATGGACTCTTCTTTTGAACTTTATCTTCAAAACTCAAAGAACTTTTATTTTTTATTGTTATTTTCAAAGTTCTTCTGATTTTATTCCAAAGTTCAAACACATCCTTCATAGAGTTTTGTTGATATTTATACTTGTGATTAGTGGCAAGTTATGCATACCAGATAAAATTGTTATGGATACGATAAAATTAGCAAGTAGACTATTAATTTGTTCACCTAGTTGTAATTAGCAACGTGAGTTACGCACATCAAATAAAATTAATGAGCTGGCCTGCCACCTAAACACATGCATGTGAGGGAAATGGGTATATGACATGCGTGCAGGCCCTAGTGAGAAAAGGAATCTAGCATGTGGCCTCACTCTGAGTGGACCCACGATGTCCTGGGCCTGCATGCAGCGCTGATCCAAGTGCAGGGAGGAGCGGCATGGATTCCCGCTGCGAATGGAACGCGAATGAGAAAAACCGCATCCGAAACTAACACTGTAGTAGCAAAAAAACAGTAGTACATGTTACAACAGCTAGAGCATAAACAACGGCAGTACATCAATATCTAGACTCTAGAGAGCATCAACAGCAGCAGTACATCAACATCTAGGCTCTAGAGAGCATCAACAATAGCAGTACATCAACATCTAGACTCTAGAGAGCATCAACAGCAGCAATACATCTACATCTAGACTCTAGAGAGCATCAACAGCGCCAACACTTTGAGCCACCAACAGCACCAACGCTTTTCCTGGCGCACAGGGGCAAAGCGAGGCGTTGAGCCAATGCCTTGCGCCCAGGCGCGCCTTCTTAAACTTTGCATTTTAATTTTGTTCATTGCTGCCCCACATTTTTAAATCCTAGATCCGCCACTGGCGCTAGGGTGTATGCCTTTTGCGTCGTTGGGGGTGTTGGCGACGGCGGCCCAGGGCGGTCCTTTTGTTTCCCGTTTGTTTGACATGCGTTGCGCTGCTATGTAGACCTTTCTGCTCGCGCATCGAAACTTTGCTATATGTTCACGGTTTTTTTTCATAGTTTAGAACTCTTGTAAATCATAAATACCTCATTCTTAAGGTCGGGCAATCACCTTCATTCTAAAAAAACATATTGATCTTTAGTAAAGGAGAATAAATAACATTGCTTTGTCCGATTTAAAGAATTTTCGTAGGAATCTACTATTTCTAAATAGTTAATCCTCACTAACTCTAATTTTCTTAACAGGTGGCCTTCCACCTTATCAAGCGTGTCATGTCAGCGTCCACTAACATTATTTTCCAGTCTCATGCAAAAACACATGCATACTCTTTGTTCACACACAGGGCAAGTAGGAAACAATTCTACATTAAAAAATTAGTAGTAGCTTTAGATTTAGATTTCTTCGTGTATAATTCAAGGTGCAAGGATTTGTTTCTACTATAGAAATTCTATAGGAATTTTAACATCCACTTAAACCTATATCCTATATATTTAAGAGATTCATCCCCACTACAAGTATTTATTCGACATGCAAGCTATCCAATTCAGCAATCTGCCATATCAGCAACTTTCAATATGCATGATGCCACATCAAACGTCCCGCTACTGGTGTACAGAAAGGACCGAAGCACAACGTTTTGTTAGGCCAACTCCACCGCATGACCCCAAACGGACGTCTGGTTTGACCGGATTTTGTCCGTTTGGGGTAGAAAAACGGACATGCATGTCCGCATGCGGTCGTCCCACCATCGAGGCGCCCACCGCAGCCAATCCAACCCAAAATATGTCCGGATGTATTCTGCTTTAGACATTTCATCGAACACTTTACGGACGGCTGCCGGTGGCGTCGACGAGGAGGACCGGCGCTGTCCGGATTCGCCGCACTCGTGCCCAGGTCGTGCCCCGCCGGCCGCCATCCGCCGCGGCCGCCTCGCCGCAGCCCACGCGCTCGCACACGGCAGCGGCCCATGCACGCGAACACGGCGGCTGGCTAGCTAGCTAGCAAGCAGGCACGCGAATGCGGCGGCTGGCTGGCTAGCTAGCAAGGACGCGAACGCG